AGTCCACCGACCTGGGTAGCTGAGCTTCGCTTTTATTCCTAGCCTTTGGCCAATGGAATTAGTGATTTGTCTGCTTTATTTTGGCCTGGCCTGGCCTTCTCTCGGAGCCCAGGATCCCAGGGATCTCTCTGGACTTCCCCGGGAATTACCTGTGTCTGAGTTAGTCCTAATGAAGCTGCCAGCTCTGCTCTCTCGGGAAGCGCCAGGTACTGGGTCTGCTGGAAGCGGTGGTTTAAAGCCTGCAGCTGGAGACTCGAGTAAATGGTTCGGGGCTTCCGGATCTTCTTCCCTTTCCCATTAAATCTTATCTCCCCGTTTTCGATAACTGTGGTTTTCTGTTGATCTGCAATAAAAAGAAAGTACATTTGAAGGGGGACGTCCAGCACAGCGAAGCCCTTCTATGAGAGACACCCCAGATTTTGTTTTGGGTGCTTTTCATGTTGGGGAGGTGGGGGTGTGGTAGGAAATCAGAGACAAAGCCATTTCCATGCCATTACTAACAGAGTAGAAAATGCACGGGGTGATACATAAGAAGGTCAGGCCGCCGACAAATCCTCCAGGCAACCTTCTGCGGCGGATGATTCACTTTGACCTGCAAGATCTACCCGCTTTCCTGACAGCTTTGCTACCCAGGCGTGTTAGGAAATTCATGACACTCTCTTAATACAAGCAGTACTTCGCTCAAACGAAAACTACTGCTATTTCCAGAAATCCCTGGTCCATGGCAAAACTGCTTAGTTTTAACCGAGAACCTGAAATGCACCCTGTTGCCTAGTTTGTGGCTACTGCATTGACCTCTCTTACCAAAACCTGTCGTCGTTTTTTTACTCCCTATACACACAAAGACACGCGCGCAGAGTTCATGCTACCTGAGCGTCTCATTTAATATTGGAATGTGTTTGAACTGCACACACAGTTTGTATGTCCTAAATATGAATCTATCTCCAATCTTAGCATTTCCCCAAGGAATAAGCAAACAAGCAGGGTAGCATTTCTGCTTCGGATCTGTATAGACGTATCTCCACAGCCAACGTACAGGTGCAAATGATTTTAGGAAGGGACGCGGAGCTGCGTCTTCCCTCGGCGACTTGCCATTTGTTTCTCGAGACGTTTACTGTAGATTAGCCATCCGATGGGTGCACGGACGGGATTTATAATGTCATTTCCTAGGCACAGTGGTGGGGGGCTAAAGATGTGATAAAATCGCGCAGGCAAAAAAACAACACACCGCACACCTCTTCTCTGCAGTATATGCCCAACACAACAAGACACGGGAGTCACCAGCGTCTGACCTGGCTCTCTCGGGCGCTATCCCTGCTTTAGATTCTCTTTTCTCTCTCTCTGATCACCCTGCGTCAAAAGCAACAAAGAGGGAATAATCGTGGCAGAGCAATTCCTTCCCCAAAGAAGCCTGCAGTGCTATGGCAGTAGCCCGCCGTAGCAGGAGATGGGCTACGGCCCGGGCGCTCTTTCTAAGCGCATTTCTTCGTCCTGCACAGACCACCGTCTTGGAGAGGGCATCCGCGGGCTAGGCAAACAACATCCTAGGAAGAAGCAAAATCACTCCTGTTCCTCTGGACGGCTACATTATCGCCGAAGAAAGCCAGCACGGTCTTCGCTTAAGGTTTTCAATCCACACAGTCCATGGGCAGCTTCCAAGTGGAGGGCAGCGCCTCGGAGTCCCCGAAACACGACACACGTGCCTGAGCATCCCCACGCGCGTCGGCCGGCGGCCTGCGTCCAGGCACGCGTGTGGATGGATCCCAGAGGGAAACTCAGGGTCCGGAGCACGCAAAGGGAAGCCAGGAAAGAGTTGCCGAAATCCGAGCCAGGCTTACAGGAAAGCAAGTCCTCTGGAAGCGAATTGTTGTTGTTATTTTTTTGCGGGGGGGGGTGTTACCCTCCCAATGAAACCTGCACGGGATCGGGGTGAGGAGATGTCATTTCAAACCGAGATCTGAGCGGGAGAGAGCCAAGGGATCCCCATGCAAAGTAGCAACACCCCCCCTCGCCCAAGAAATCCTGCGTATTGATTTGTAAACTTACTTCCGAGGGAAGGTTAAAAGTGGCGAGAGAAGGAGGAAGAAGAGGCAGGCGATGGAGGGAAAGCGAGGGAAGTGCAGCAGGAAAAGGAGACAAAGGGAGAGGAAGGGCATGCGGGAAAGAGAGACAAAGGAAGCCGGGAGCCAGCGGGCCGGCCGCGGGGGCTCGGCCCGGGCATCTCCGCGCCCGTCTCGTGGGAACGCTCCGTCACGCGTTGCCTCCCGTGTCACCCACCTGCGTCGTCCGGCCTCGCCGTCCCGCCCGCGCCGCCTCCTCCTCCTCCTCCGCCTCCTCCTCCGCCGCCGCCGCCGGCGTGGTAGGGCTGCAGGTAGGGGCTGTGCTGCGCGTGGCTCACGTAGGGGTAGGCGGCGGCGGCTGCGGCGGCGGCGGCCAGCGAGCGGTGGCTGTACGAGTTGGCGGCGGCGGCGGCGGGGCCGGCCGGGTAGGGCGCGGCGTGGTGGTGGTGGTGGTGGTGATGGTGGTGCGGGTGCTGGTGGTGCGGATGCGAGTGCGAGGCGGGCGCCGCCGAGTGCAGGCAGTGCAGCGGGTAGTGCGCGCCCGCCATGGCCGCCGCCGGCGAGCTCTGCTGCTGCTGCTGTTGCTGTTGCTGCTGCTGCTGCGCCGAGTGCGAAGAGCCGCCGCCGCCGCCGGGCGCCTGAGCCCCTGGAGGAGGCGGCGGCTGAGGCGGCGGCGGCTGAGGCGGCTGCTGAGGCGCCGGCGGCGGAGGCGGCTGCTGCTGCTGCTGCTGCCCGAACTCCATGAAGGCGGATTTGGACGAGTCCGGCGCCTCCAGCCCGTCAGCCATCGTAGTCATGGTCATCATCCAAGTTGGGCAGCCAGCGACGAGCGCCTCAGCCCGGCTACTCGGCGTCGTCGTCGTCGTCGTCGTCGCCCCCCTCGCGCTCCCGCCACCTTCGAGGGAGCCTATTAGCCTGCGCCGGGCGGGAATTAGCGACGGGGCTCGCGCGCTATTCCCCCCCCCCCCGGGCGCGCTTTTTCCCCCTTCTTCTTCTTCTTTAGCGAAAGCTGAGGAGGGGGGGAGAGAAAGAGAGAGAGAGAGAGGTGGGAGAGGGGGAAAAGAGAGAGGGGGAGAAAGAGAGAAGAGAGAGAGAGAAGAGAGAGAGAGAGGAGCAATAGGGGGAGAGGGGCCTTGTTAACTGAGGGAGGGGTGGAGGGGAGGAGTGTGAGAGGCGCTGGGGAGGGAGAGAGAGAGGGGGAAAGGAAGGAGGAGGAGGGGGGCCAGAAAGAGAGAGAGAAAGAGAACCGCAGACTTAGTCCTTCCCGGGGCTTTTCCCCTCACGCTTCTTCTTTCCCTCCATTTGGGGGGCTTTTTTTTTTAATACCTCAGACACACACGTTCCCTCTTTCTCTCTCCCACCCTCCCCTTCTCTCTCCCTCTCTCCGGTTGGGGTTTGTTATTAGGTTTTTGGTTTGGTAATTTCTTTCCCCCTCATTAAGGGGGGGGGACCTTGAGGGAGTTTAAGGCAAAAGCAGAGAGAGAGAGAGAGAGAGAGAGATAACCCCCTTTCTCTTTAAGGTGGATTCTCTTTCATAAAGTTGTGCTTCTGCTTTTCGACTTGAGGCAGCAGGGGGAGGGGAAGGCGCACGACAACACACAACAACAGCGGGAGCGGGAAGGGGGGGGGGTGAGGTGGAAAGAGAGAAAACGCCACAAGTCGAATGGTTGGTCTCCAAAGGGCAGCGCCTCCCCATTGGTCATTCCGCCCGTGACGTCACCCAGCCCGGGCACTTCTACTGGCGTCAGCGCGAGCCCACCTTCTGCACAACTTCAGAGCTCGCAGCGAGCGAGAAGCAGCCAGCCAGCAAGGGGAAGCTAGGCAGGCGCTTGGGGTGCATGTGTGTGTGCGCGGGCACGCGCGCGTGTATTTTGCGCCGCACACAAACCACAACAAAGCTGCGCTCCGAAGTAGCACCCTCGCTTTTACAAAGCCAAGCACCCTTCCAATGAGCTATGGGTGGTTTTTTTTCCAATTAAAAAGAAGAATGTGCATATATTTTCCCTACTGTCGTTGCATCGCAGGCTATCGCTGCCTCGCACATGTCCGTTAGGATTCACAACAACACTGTCCAGCCTTGGCGTTCAAAGCCAAAGCGGTGCCCAGTAAAGAGCTGTAAATTATGGTCTAGAATCCCGGATGGTAACTCAGAGTTCTTCTGGACAAAATTAGCAGGGTTCCTTCCTGAGGTATTTTCCTGATGATGCAATGTGCCCAGGGGAAGGATTCCTTTAAAACACACAAACACCTACTACGCGCGCGCGCGCGAACTCGTTTTTCGGAGCGCTGTCCTTGGATCAGTACAATAGTGTCTGCTTTTTCAGCATCCTGCTCCGAGGGCGAATCCTCAGAGATCTGTCAGTAATACATTTCCCCCCCTATTGAAAACAGAAGCTCCTGTAATGCTTTCAAATATATGCAAATGAGACATGCGGTTAGTGGTTTGGCAAATCTTGATTGCAATATAAACTACCCGAGGAAAAGTGCCTTCACCCTAAATTTGCCTTTCGATTACAATTCCAGTTGATTTTATTTTATTGTCAACATTGTTAATGATAAAAATAGAGTCGCTTCGCAGTTATTTTTACTTTCCGAAAGGAGGCAATTAGACTTCTAATCAGGAATACACAAAAAGGAGAGAGAGAAAAATCTCCCATGATTAACTGCACTACTTTGTTCAAATTGCAGCTATAAAATTCAGAACAATTTGCCTGTAATGATTATGGACTGGGTTTATTTTGGGAGGTGGAATAAAAGTGGATATAGCATAAATTATCCTCTAATTATACACCAGTGTCGCCTCAATTATCCTCTTATCAAAATGGTTGTCTAACTGCCGCATTTAGTTTCAATTCTCTCCCATTTTTTTCTATAAAAAGAACCTCATACCTTGTTATTATTAATCCATTTATTATTTGCTAGGGGATTTATAACAGAACATCCAGGTGGTATCGCCACATCTCTCGGAAAGATGGACTGGGGAAAGACATTAAGTTGGAACCAACACGCCAGCGGATCTATCGCGTTCTTGTTCTGGGGGACAAATCAGCTTGTGCTTTCTTTTTTTAGACAAAAAAGAATCTGTCGTCCACTGAGCAGGGAAACATTAGGATCCTTGGAGATTTACGGAAAAGGAGTCAGGTAGGGGGGGAAAACCAGACCGCTTTCAAGGGTGGGGGAGAGAAGAAGCTAGAGAAAGTTGGAGAGGCTGATAAACCTGCCGGCTTTCTCTACATCGGCAACTTTTCTCCTGGAGGTGGGGGGAAATTTATCCAGACCAAGGGGACGTGTGATATGACATTGCTACGAGATTTGTTTGTTGCAGATCTGGCAAGTATTTATTTTTTAAAAATAAGGCCTGGAATTGAGAAGGATCAAGAAGAGGTTCTCTCTCTCTCTCTCTCTCTCTCTCTCTCTCTCTCTCTCTCTCTCTCTCTCTCTCCCGCCCTCCTTCTCGCCAGGTCATGACAAACCTTAAGCAAATAGTTGGCTCTTAAGAATCCCACGGATCTTGCCATTTTGCGCGTTGCGCTTTGCGTTCAAAAGGTTTGGTTGCGCTTTGAGATGGGTAAGGCAGAGAGATCACCGCTCTGTTGTTGGGTAACTTGTTCACGGGACAGGGAGTGTGTGTGCGGTGGAGGGGGGGAGTGTGTGCCTCTTTCAGAGATGATGGGCTGTTTCCCCCCTCCCCCCCTCTTTCTCGGCGTTTAACTCCTGGAGCCTCTGGAGTCGGTTCAGTAACTCTGAATGCAGCTCTAAGTGTCTTGCCTTGTTCGCGGAGTTCTTAACAAGAGTCATACTCCGACACTCGAATAGGGTAACCCGAGACGGGCATTTACAAATCTCCAATGCCCTTTTTTTAAAAAAATAAAAAATGTTCCTAGTCCTATGGAAGAACTGGGGTGGTGGTGGGGAGAGAGAGAGAGGTGGTTATGGAGTGGCGCGATTTTTAATATTTAAGAGAGCTGAGCGAAGGTCCAACTAGCGTTCTGCTGCCAGTTTCCTGAGAGACTTTCTTCCTAGGGTGTAACTAACGCGCAGGTAGATTTGGCAGGTTTATTGCTTTATACCCTCCAGCTTCTTGTTAACAACCGTCGGGGAAGCGGTTTTCTGCAGGTGCCAAGAACAGTCGCGTTTCTCTTTTGCTTTTCGGAAAACACTGGGGAGTGGAGAGAGGACTGGGTTAGGGAGAGTTTCTGTTGTCGGTGTTATTTATTTTTCTTTCTCTCTCTCTTTCTGAAAAGCTCTGCCCGGTGCTTTTCTAGGATTGCAATTCCTATGCACGCTTACCTGAGGGTAAGTCCGCATTTGAACTCACTGGCAATGAATTCGGAGTGAACTCGCACAGGATCCATCTGTGGCTATATATGTGTTTGTGTCCTGCCACACGAACCTCTGTTAAAGCAGATGATATGAGAGCGAAATCGTCAAGCGGTTTTATTTTCAAGGAAATAAAATCAGGAGAGAAACGCGCGCGCGTGGAGCGGGGCGGGGGAAGAGGCTGCGAGATCCATAAGCAGCTCACCAGACAAATATGTTGGTGGGTAAACTGCCCCCACTTTCTTTGAGAGTTTGTGATATCCAAGGGAACGAATCCCTATATAGAAATGTGTATAGAATTATCGTTTGTATCAATCTATTCATTCGCCTCTTTTGAATGGGGACCTTTCTGTATTTGTTCTAAAATGCTCGGCGAGATGTATATCCTTTATCTGTTCTGTTCCATCACTGACGTAACAGACACATACACGCGCTATGCACACACATACACATAGTAAGGTGATCTCTTTTATTGGTCCAACTCTGTTGATATAGAAATACGCCAACTTCTAAGCTACACACGAGGCGGAAGAACTCGGTGCAGCTCGAAAGCTTGCATACCCACCCACCTGCGGTGGAATTGCCCCAAATACAAGATATCATTCTACCTACGTTGCCATCCCTGTTCTGAGCTTCTTTGGCACCCCCACTACAGCATCAAGGTGTCGAGGCGTACCTAGCATGGTTGTGATCACGAGTCTCTTACCTCAAAGCAGACCAGTTGCTATTATTTTGGCTCTGTTGATGCTTTCGGTTCTCTTGCTAACATACGCCGCTCTACCTATAGACAAACACAACTCTTGGCAAAGTCTGCATGGCGATTTTTAATCCATCCGCACAGGTGGCGCCGACCTCTCTTTAATGTGTCTAGGATGGATGGATAAATGATAGAGCGACAAACTCCCCGAACGATTTTTCTCACCGGGGTTTTCCTCTCGCCACCCCTAACTGGTTGAACTCCCCGGGTCTTATCCTGGCAATTGCTCCATTATCCAAATCCACCAGGCTGGCGTTAACTTTCCGAGGCTCCCATTGGCTGGTGTGAATGGCTCTTGACTTCGAGGAGCCTCGCTGCTGCTCGTAAATATTTATTGTTTTCAGGATCCTGTTGGGAAAGAGCCTCTCACACCTTTAGGGAGCGGCGCTTGGGGGGACGCAGCTAAAATGTGCCTCCTGCCCGTTTCCAACCTCAATTCCCCTAGCCGGTGTGGGAGATCTCCTGCTGCTGATCTCCCCAGCCACCCTCGGATCGATTCCTTAGTCCTCGCTTCCCACAGGGTGCCAGTTCTCCAGCGGAGAAGGAAGGGCGAGGCCTATCCCGGAGGGATACCTGGTTCAGCCTCTCGTTACCTTCCAGGGAGGGTGCGGAGGAAGCCCCTGGGGAATCTGAAGGCGAGGTCGTTCTCGGGGAGAAGTGGCGGTAGGTGGAGCTGTCCTCGCTGGTCCCGAAGTTGAGGAACCCCGGGCCTAGCCGTGGAGGGGTGTGTGTGTGTGAAGTAGTGACAGCGGGAGGTGGGTAGGTGGTTTTCCCCCTCCCCTCCTTCTTCACCCACATGGAAAACCGCGATTTTTCCACAGAAGACGCACGCTGTGCATTTATGGCCTATACAGAAAGCAACGTTTCCCTGTTACTTCTTATCTCCTCCTCCCCCCACCCCGTTCCTTAATTTCCGTCTTTCTGTTCTAGTCAGATCCGAAGGGAAACGTTTCGGTTTAGCAGGCCAGAATGTAAAGGGCCCAGAAGGATAATCCGAAGCCGAGAGGTTCTCTGTCTTCCCCACCTGAAATCAAGGATTTAGTATGAGATACTCAAGCTGCATTGGAAGTAAGCTCTTCCTAAATAAATAAGGGTTTGTTTCCCAATCGAGGCTATGACCCTTTAAAGTCCGGTTACTGGGGCGGCGGGGACTTATTTCAGATCCTGTACTTGTTCAGGATATGGCGCCCACAAGCACTGCACTTTCACTGGGTGAGATTGGCCTGTGGCTCTGTTACATTCAGACCCGCTGGGTGGCATTCAACTAAGTTTTTACTTCAGAGTAGACCTACAGAGGGACGCAGGTGGCGCTGTGGGTTAAACCACAGAGCCTAGGACTTGCCGATCAGAAGGTCGGCTGTTCGAATCCCTGTGACGGGGTGAGCTCCCGTTGCTCGGTCCCTGCTCCTGCCAACCTAGCAGTTGGAAAGCACGTCAAAGTGCAAGTAGATAAATAGGAACCGCTCCGGCGGGAAGGTAAACGGCATTTCCGTGCACTGCTCAGGTTCACCAGAAGCGGCTTAGTCATGCTGGCCACATGACCCAGAAGCTGTACACTGGCTCCCTTGGCCAATAAAGCGAGATGAGCGCCGCAACCCCAGAGTCAGGGGTTTAAACCACTAATGGTCAGGGGTCCCTTTACCTTACTAGACCTACAGAAATTCCTGGACACAGCTTAGGCATGTTCACTCACCTTGCTGGGTCTATGCTGAGTAAAACTAAGTTGCGAACCACTCGTTAGTTCAACGAAGTTGTAGAGATAAAGCCATTAAGCGAAATTGCGCACAGAATAAGCACAGAGATACTATTCTAAACCATTTTCTTTCCTTCTCCGCTCATCCCATCACTACGAAAAGCTCATGGCCTTGGTTTCCTCAGCGGCTTTCCTCAGGCCTCATTGCAAGGAAAAGCCTGACTTGGGGAGGGTGTTTGGTTGCTAAGACGAGCTCAGTTACAAGGTTCATTCTAAGGAAATTAGACCTGTATAAGTAGCCTTTGAATCCGCAGGAATAACTTGGTGTTTGTTTACACGTTTCTCGAAATAAATCGCACCGTGTGAGAAAGCCGGCAACTTTCTCTCCCGTGGATTTTTTATTTTATTTTTTTGAGGTGTAGTGGCTGTAAGGAACTGAACATAAACTGTCAAAAGCGAGGCCCTCAAACCTGTCAAATATAAGATCTACACACACACACACACACACACACACAAAATCCCCCCCTTGCACATTTGCTTGGAAGGTCTTTCTGGCTTTAAGGACGCAAGAATATTCCTTAAGTTGGAGAGAGGCTATTAGTCCATTGAGCTCCTCATAGTCTAAGCTGGCGGGCTCTACGGGAAACCATCTAATAAAATGGTGTGGCAAAGTTACTTCTACAGGCCTTTCTTGTTTTGTGGAAATTGATTCAACATCTCGGTGGCTCCCCCCTCCTCAAATTGCTTCGCGGTCCTTCAAATGAGATTCCTCTAGAATTAAGATAATGAAGCGGGAGAGGCCGTTTCGTAGGAGTACAGTCTCAAACTAGTAGAACCCCGCTTAAAACACATGCACACAAAGACAGCCGTGGTTTCTTCCTCTCGTCTCTCTGTAACTAAGAGAGTTGTCCCCCTTTCCCTTGCAGAAAATCCGGAATCAAGGCCGAACTGTGTTTGCTTTGGGTTACGGACCTCCTACTGCAGCCAAATCCTCCCTTATATTTAAGCATCCCGGTGCTGGATGCAGCAAAGGGCTTCTTAGGGCCGCAATCCAAAGCACGCTTCCTCTCCTCGTGGTAAGTAACTCTCTTAGGACTTATTTTGGATTAAAAGTGGTTAGGATCGCGCTGCGCGGCTCTCCTCGTGGGTCCGGATGGAACTTTCGCAGCGGGTCCAGTACATCGCGAACGCATTTATCTTGGGAGCAACAGTCGCTTTCCAAGAGTGGGACTGCACACACACACACACACACACACACGCGCCAGTGAAAAATGGGAAAGGTCTACATGATGTGCGTCAGATCGAGAGTGTAAAACTGTTGTGATCCACGCACACTGCGCGCTTTGAAGCCAGTGATGGGCCTCCCTTCCA